ATGCAACGCTGCGAGTCGCTAGCGCAAACGGAAGCGGAAGTGCAGCAGCGCTGAAATAATATCAAAAATGGCTGCCGGGGGCGTCGGCAAAAAGTTGGTCACAAATCATCTTAGAGCAGTGGGCGGTGGGCGTGTGGACGGTACACGTGATGCGACGACAACGACGACGACGACTGCGCCAGTGTTGTAAAATGCTAACGAGCCCAAGCGAAATGACAACCTTTGTTGTCCTCAACGTCCGCACGGCGCTTTGACTAACTTTTCAGCCCAGTTGCCCTACTCCTTCTGCTGCTGCTGCGGATCCTTCTTCTGTTTTGTGGCCTGCAACTAATTTAGCTGCATTCGCCAACAGCAGCATCTTCATTTGCCTGCGCTTAGTTGAATAGTTCCCATAAACTTAAACGCCTGAAATTTAAAAAAAAAAAAAATAGTGTTGTTAACTAACACTTGTAACAGCAAAGAGTGTTGGAAATCAACATTAATGATTTTAAAAATTGTTTAAAATCAGTATTTTTATTCAAGTTTGCAAAAAGTATTAAATAATTTAATTTTAAGCAATGACAAGTGTTGGAAAGCTCAGAATTACTGCAAATAGTATTGGAAAATAATTTTAATGATTTTAAAAAGTGTTCAAAATTAGTATATATGTTTATATATGCAAAAAGTATTAAATATTTTAATAATAAAAAATGAAAAGTTTTGGTAAGCGCACAATTACTGCAAATAGTGTTGGAAAATGAAGACTCTAGAAAATCTAAAAAGTATTACTGCGCAGTTGAGACAGTAAAAAGCAAATGTTTTGCTGATTTGAGTTAATAAAGAATATTTTAATACCCAACAGTAGCGCTTGACTGTGCAAAAATAGTGTTAAGCAAAAGCGTGAAAATCAAATTTGGAACTACAAAATATATTGCAACTTTAAGCACATTCAACAATACTTTCTAGTCTATGAACAGTGTTGGAAAGTCGCATTTGATACTATAAAAATCTTTGGAAAATGCATAAAATAGAATAGATATGGTTTGATAGATGCTGATTAGCTATATAAGATCTGGTTAGAAGTTGTTGTGTATACAAATAAATCTCGAAGTCAACTTTTACTTTTTGCGATTTACTGGCGAAATCGTTTGTTGGCACAGCTGATTAACGCTCGCAGCACAATTGTAGTATAATTCTTCTTCTTTCTTCTACTTTTTTTTGGGTTGGCCAGCTGCAAGTTGCACCTTTGCCTGCCTTGGCAGAAGTTGCAACTATAAAATTCCAATTTTCTCTGCATGCGCGCGACGACTTTCTTGGCAGCCAGACAACCAGCAGCCACGCCCCACGCCCCACGCCCCACGCTAGAAAAACGCGCCAAGCTGCAGGCTGTTGCCGCTGCTGCCTTTTGGCTGCTGTTTCTCGTTCTCATGCTCATTCTCAATCTCATTTTCGTTTTGGGTTTCAACTTCGTCCGCGTTTTGCTCTTTGGCAACTCTATTTCCCCCCGTTTCTCTTCGTCTTCTCCTTTTTTGTGTGGCGCAATTTTATGTATTTTTATGGTAGGTTGCAGCCGCTGCCGCTTGGCCCGGAAAACGGAAACCGAAAATTGCTACTTATTATGTTACTAACTTTGTGTTGCAGCTACGTTGCGCTGCTTTCCTCCGACTCCGACTCCGACTCTGTCTCTCTACCTCTCTCTCTCTGTCTTTCTGCTGCCCCCTCTCCAGCTGTGTGCTGGCTCGTTTGGCTCGTGTGATAATGTCAGGTTTTGTTAAAATTAAATTGCATGTCTTGCTGCGTTGAAGTTAAATTATTGCCTCCAGCTTCCAGAGGTGTAGACGCACCTCTTTCACTCTCCCTCTCTCTTTTCCCTTGCTCCAGGTGCAACAGTGCTTTGTGTGTGTGTGTGTGTCAGCGAGATCTGCAACGAGCATAGCGTTGTCGAAGTTGTCTGAAAGTTTTGCGCTTTGTTATACTCATTTGCACGTTAAAACATCTCTTTGTTCATGTAAAACATCAATTTGAGGCAACTGATCGTATTAATTGCATATTTTTGAGATTAAGCCCTTGGGACAGAGCTTTTGAGCTCTGAATTCCGCTAAACAGGTAATGGAGAGATGAATTTTATAAGCAGATATTTATGGAGTTAAAAAGATACTTGGGATACCTGATGCCTAAAGGCTGTTTGAGTGATGAATAAGCGAGAGCTTCTAGACAGCTCTGCTGACATGTCATGCAGTGTGTCCGGCGTGACTGAAGAATAGAATTAGTAACACAAGAAAAGAGTATCTTGCCTAATTTATGTACTATATACTATATACTATATCATCCCGCATCCCTCACTACTTGAATCCCTCCCATTAGAGATCTACAATTTAATTTAAAAATCTCGCTCACTTCTCTTAAAGAACCTGCTACGCAATTCATTTGTTTGCCACAAACAAAGTAAAACGTTTTCAATTCGTTTATTTTTTTTTTTATAAATTTATACATATTTTCTGGCATTGCGGGAAGTCGGCAAAAAAAATACAAAGATTTTGTTAGCTTCACAAAGTATGCAACAGATTTTTTCTTAGCACATGCACGCCGCATGGTGCCAACAACAACAGCGAGAAGCGGCGGCCTCGACAGGCAAACAAGCAGCGAGTTTTTGGCATGCGCCACAATGTAAGCTAGGGTATTCCCTTTTTCTGCTTTGGACTGGACACACGCTGCGATTTTTACCGGCATTACGAAATATTAACAACGCAAATGCGAAAAACGCCACCGCATGTGGCACACAAGAGAAATGGTTATGGAGTTAAAAATAGCAATGGGGTAGTTGGGTATGGAGAGGGAATATATATGTGTGTGTGTGTGAGTGCGTGCCTAGTGGGCGAGAGAGGCGTGTAAAATGTTGCGTAACGAATTGGCACCTTAAAGCACAATTTGCATAATAACTCAAAATGTCGACAGCCAGACGCTGATAAGAGGGAAAAGCAAGCTGAAGGTGGAGTTAGTTAAATTGTATTTAAATGAAAAAGGTGTTATAAAGTCCAGCTCGAATTAAGTGAATTCGAAAAATGAAAAAGAGATAGAAATTTGATGGTTTGCCTAGGGAAACTGAAATGTTTCTGGCAAATAATGGAAGTTCAATAAAAATAGATCATTAATATAAAAATATTTTAATATATACAAAATAAATGAAACGTATCTTGAATTATTATTTAATTAAGTTGAAAATGATCAGCCAAGACAAGTTCCTGCTTTACTAACTAAACGAGCTGAACAAGATCACAAAAATTATTTTTAAAGCGCTTTTAAGTGAACAAATTAAATATTCTTAAATTAAAAAATAATTTCCTAATGCTTTGAATTCATATTTATAGTATCAAAACTATTTGCCAGCTTTTAGTTAATGAAGTTAAATTCAGACTGGCAAAAAAAATATTTTCTAAAAATATTTTAAAATTCTGACTTAAATAATTTCAGGTACAGTTTAGTTAGTAACTTCATTTCTAAATTCAAATATATTTTATAATTAAAAGCAAATGCCTATAATTAAATTAAGTAATATAATGCACAGATATTCTCTAGCTTCGCTTAAGTTAAAACAAGACACTTTCAGTTGTAATTCCCAAGCAGTTTTGATGGCTTGCGCATCTAAAGCCTAATGCCTTTACAATGCATCGATTGAATTGAAAGTTCAGTATTATGGATAATGTATCTAGAGAAAATAAGTGCAATAAAATGAAAACAACTAAGTGACATTAGATGGCAATCAGACACGTTTGAAAACCCATAAAAGTGGAAATATGTTGCCAAATTTCAGGGGACAACCGCAGGCGACACACACACACACACATACATGGACACACATGTGCACTTATTATTTACCAAACACGTCCTAGAGAGAGAACAACACGTACTCAATTTAGAGCTAGACTAGAGCAGAGTTCAAGGGGAAGTTTCAGTGTGCAGCTGCAAGAACTTTAAGGGATTGAGCCACACACATTTTGACAGTACAACTGTCGCTTATAGTATTTAGACAGAGAGCCAGCAATAAATTAAACGCAAATCAAACAACAAGAAAGTAAATTTCACAATTTAAAATTGCCAAGAAGACTGAATGTGAAAGGCAGTAAAAGTTTTTCGACATCTCTCTTGACAACATATTGAACATATTTTGTGTGTTGACTTTTCAAAATATTTTCCTCGATTATTTGTACAGCAAGAATTTGAGGCCTGCTTAGGTCATATGACACTCGCACACGCTACACACACGCCACGTGCTGCGGCCGTCGCGACGGACAGGCAAACTAACCCAAGTCAAAGCACACGTCACATACTTGTCTTCAGTTCCTCCGTCGTCTGTCCTCTGTCCTTTGTCTCCTGTCCTGTCGACTTTTGTCTATTTCTCTATTTTCTTTTCTTTTTTATACATTTTGCTGTGTGTTGCTTCCGCATACGTGCAAAACATTTGCTGGCCAAGATTTATTATCGTGCCACGTGTGTGTTGCAAGCTGCAACAGCAGCCGTTGCCCGTGCCGCTTGTTAGGCAAATCTATAGATTTGGGTTATTGCGTGGGCAAGGTCAGGGCACAACAGCTTTGCACGTGTGCCCAGCCTGAAAATAAGGAAATGCTGTCAGCTTTTTGGGTTATTGACAAAGAATTTGAGCCAAACGACTCGAATAAGGTCAAGGAGCTTGTCTTGTGGCTTACAGCTTTAGTAGGTTTTTAAATACTTATTGATGAAAGTAATATGCAGCTGGTATACTAGCTTATATTTATGGGCATATATAGGTAAAAGCTCTGATAGAAAATAAAAAATGAGCTGACTATTGATCAATAATTTCTTTAGCTCAAGATATACTTTGAGTACTAAAGAAAGCTGCGTGTATTGTGAGCTATTCCAAAAACTTGTTGGGAATTACAAAGCAACAATCTATAAGAGCTCAGCCAACAGCTTCAGGCAAAGAGCACGATGAGACTGAAGCTCCACTTTCCGCTCGCTCTAGCATTAGCTAAAATAATTTTTACTGTTTTCTTACTCATTTATTTGACAATTTTACTGACTCAAGCGACACATACACTCGTTTCAGACTTAAGATTTTGGACAATCAATTTAGAATAATGTAATGATCCGATAATGGATCTGTATAAAATTGTATATATCTTAGAAAGCATCTTTGCCGATCAGAGCATCGGCCGATGGGTAATGCGAACGCAGAAGCATGCAGCGTTCTCTGTCCACGAACAGGGTGCGTCGCTTCAGCATGATTTCGCGCTCCAAGGTATGGCGCACGCCGACGAGTGCTTCCTTTGTCTCTTCGGTGGAGGCGAGCTCGTGCAGCATGGCCGTGGTGCTGCTCTGAATGGTGTGCACCTCGTCGATAAGACGCTGCTGGGCGACATCGCGGCAGTTCTCCACATTCGGCCTGAAGCTGCGATTGTGCATGCGCGTCTGGGCGACTTTCATGGCCAGGTCGAACGCGCGAATGCGTTCGTGAAGCTGTTCAATGCGCAACTCCGTGTCCGCCAAATTCTGCAGCACGTTATGTAGATCATTCTCGAAGCGCTGCACTGCCTCCTGGGTGCAATTGATGCGCAACGTGAAGGACTTCTCCACGACATCCGCCTGGGTGCGTATGTCCCGGGCACCATTCAGCAGAGTTGCGTTGAGTGTGCTGCGCAGGTCAGCCGATCTCTGGCGGCACTTCTCGCACTCGTTCAATGTCTCCAGACTGAAGTGCTCCCAATACTGTTCCGAAGACTGCTCAATCGGCTGGCGAACTGCGCCCATTTGGAACATAATTGTACGTGATCTATTGTCCAAGCCCACATTGATGGTGTCCATTTCGTAGGACTCCAGCTTATCGCTCCAGTCCAGCTCCAGTCGCTGCTTGGCTGCGCGATTCTCCATTTGCTGTGTCACAAAGTCCTGCATGGTCTTTTGCAAGTTTCTCCTGATTTCGGCTATCAGCGACAGCTCATTGACCAGCTCCTCCTCCGTTTGGTCGCGCACCAGCTCCGTGTCCGGCCGACCGCAACGCTTCTCGATGCATTCCTTAACAATAGACTCGGGCACACCGAGCACGACCAGCGCTCGGCGCAGCCTATTGCGCTCCTCGTCCACCATAAAGATCTCATCCGTCATGGCCTTGATCGCATTCTCCAGTGTGCTCTTCCACTTGCAGATCACCTGAGCGCGTTGCCTCAGCTTCTCTGTTGTCTCATTCTGTGTCTTATTGACCATGGCAGTGAGACGCTGGTACTCGGTGATTGTGCTGAAGTGGTTTCTGTGTAGGGTGAAGTGGGAAGAAGAGGAGATAGGGTTTGTTAGAAAGAGAGAGAGGTAAAGGGCGAGAAAGAGGTTAATGAAGAGAGAGGTTAATGGAGAGAGAAGTTCAGAGAGAGAGGTTGAGATAGAGAGAGAGGTTCAGATAGAGAGAAGGTTGAGAGAGAAGATAAAGAGCCACAAGACATTATGAAATAGGAAAAGAAGCCAAGAATGCAATGAAGATCAACAAATGTGAAGAGGAGAATAGTAGGAACGATAGATCAATGATCTAAGTAGATCCCACAGCACGTACTTATCGGCCTTGTCCAGCACAGAGTTGACATGTTGAACGGTCTGTTGATTTCTGGTGCGCCATTCGTTCGCGCTGAAGCGTGTTATCGAATATCGATCGACAACTGGCCGAGTGCCCGTCAGACCGCCCATGGGGCTCCAATCGACTTTGCCCGTAGCCCAAGGACCTATAGGACCCATCGGTGTCATCGAGTCCTTTTGAGGCAAATCGTCGCCAGGCTGCGGCAGATAGCAGGGCGGATTTTGAAGATTATCTGCATCGGGATTAATGGAGCGCTGTGTGAAGAGACAAAGAGAAAGAGAGATAATTGTTTTCACTGGGCATATTCGCTCTATGACTCACTGCAAACTGCGTCTCCTCCGTTTTGATCGGCGCCGCTTTGGCCTGCTCCTGCTTGATGTCCAGCAACTGCTGCTGTTGGTTATCAACTGCCGCCTGCAGATCTTGCTGCACCTGATGATGCGCCTGTGCCGGCTCGTCCACCACCTTCTTCAGATACTCCTGCAACTCACGCTGTTCGTCCTCGGTGGGTGGCACAATGCCCACGGTCATGGGCTCCCATTTGCGTCTGCGTATGGGCCCCAATTCGGGTGGAGGCGGACAGATCAAGGGCGCGGGGCACGCAGAGGTCGGATGCAAATCAATTGGCTGATTGACACAGTCGCCGCCGCCATCATAGAGATCCTTCTCCTTGCAGCACGCCATTTCGAGATGGGCTTAGCTAGTGGAAAATCAAAAATAAAACCGACTCAACTATTTTTTACACTTTATCTTAAAGTTGTTCGTTAAACTCAACACCAAACTCGATATGTAACTGACAATTTTCATAACATTCTATTTGAGAGCTGTAAACAATGCGACAGGTTGCTTAGGTTATACAAATTGTGTGGGGCAACAGTTGCCAGGCCAGCAAAGCTCCATAGTTGTTGACTCGCTGGCCAAGAATCAATCCAGTTTCAGGAATTTGCATTAGGTTAAGTCGCCCTTGGGTCATAGTTAGCTGCTCCCCATATTTTGAAAGAACAGAATGGAAAACTCGAGCACATTGGAGGGCTTGTAGCGCAGCACATTTAGGACATAGTCCTGCATAAAGTCAGCCAATTCGGAGTGGTACTCGAGATATTTTGTAGTGTTCTCATAGTTCAACGCCTTCAGTTCACGAAATTTGCGCGACAGCACGGGATCCTGTCGCCACATCAGCTCCAGTTTGGGCAAAATGTGTTCCTTGTTTTTGGGTGGCGCGCAGACTGCGTGCAGCAAATAATTGTAGCCTCGCCAATAGTGTAGAATGATGTGACCCTCGGGCGTCATAAATGTTTCGGCCACATCCTGCAACTCGTCATTGAAGCACTGCTGAGTTATGATGTGGACGGCGTTCTTGTAGGTGCGGTAGAAAATGCGCACCAACTTGCGATCCCTGTGTATGAGCAGATTGCAGCGTAGCACGCGTCCATACAGATTCATCGTGTAGTACTCGAACGTGCCGACAAAATTATGGCAGACGAGATGGCGCATGAGCAGCTGGATGCCGCCGTCGAGCACGAAGGTGTGATCACGGTCCTTGATGTTGATCGTTGCCTTGAACTTTTGCGATTCCTCATTGATCTTGGTCTCGCGTATGGCCGTTAGGTATAAGTCCGCGTGATTTCGCACCTCGAGCGTCTTTTCCACCATCGCATGATCGATGCGATCCGTCTCAGAGCGTTTCTCACAGATCAACAGAAACTGATCGTCATATTTGCCCTTGAGCTGATGTCCGCATTGGATAATGCCTTTGCCCTTCTTCATTTTGCTGCTGCTATAGATGACGTAGCCATCGAAAGCCTCCTCTACATTTAGACAGAACTTTCCAATCTTAATCAATTCCCGCTCAAAGAAGATCTTCAAATTCTCGCTCAGCTTGCAGTTGGTATTGCGCAGCTTCGAGATGTATAGCGATTCCTTGAAGATCACGGCATTTTTGACCGGCATAAACTGCTTAGGGTCGATGTTCCAATTGCATTCTTTATACTGATCGTCGGACGGTTCGATCGGCCGAATCAGTGCAGAGATAATACTCGATACACTGATCTCATCCTGAGCGCTTAGTTTATCCACTTCCTCGCAAGCAGGTGCCCCTGCTATCTTCTTGGTTGGGTCGCGAAACTCGTCGAGATCACAAGGCACAAACAGCGGCGGGTCCAATTTAACGGCCCAATCCTCTGTAATACAGTCGGCGATGAAATAACACACTCATACAGCATCACTGAAGCTTACCCATGGCTTAGCCGCTGAGTTATATAGTTAATTAAGAACTTTTTATATCCAGCCAATTTAGCAAAATATAAAAATTTGGACGGTATTCAAAGATTTCAATTTTTGCAGCAACAAATTTTGAAATACTCCAGATCCAATTGGTTTTAATACTGATAGAAAAAACTATGCAAGCTGTTGGCATTCAAAATTTGATTTGATTTCTCTGAATTAAATTCAATTGAGAATTTCTTCGACTATTCACGACTTTTTTTCGCACTGTTTCAGAGCTTCTCTTAGTTAATATACAAAATACTTGAAAAACTTCCCTAGAATTAATAATATTTGTCGTTTATATTATTGGACTACACTTGAAAAAATAAAGGCATACTATTACAATTTATTTAATATTTTAAATATATAAATAAAATAAATAATTATAATGAAGAAATATTCTTTGAAGAGACTTCGCTGCTCTAAATGTACCATTATATAAATTATATAAATTTTATATATTTATAAATTCCTTGAAGACTTTGAAAAAAATTGTAGTTCTTAGGCTATTCAAGAAAAATGCATTTAAATTGAATTCAATTCAATTTTTTGAAATATTTTTCTAGAATAAATTCGTTTTTAAATATCATTCCTTAGTATTCAGATTTATTTCAATTATTTTGTAAGAGATTTTTGGAGTTCTATCTTTGCGAGTGCTCAGGAACTTGAACGCAATTAGCTAAAGAAACATTTCTCATATTACAACAGTTGTTTAGTAATTCTGAAGAGTTTGCACATGACAAAGGAAGCACAAGATGAAAATGGAAATTTTGTAGAGAGCAACAGCTAATTGCAAGGCCAACAGCTCTAAGGACACAGCAGGCAGGAATGTGAGTCTCTCTGTGTGTGTAAGGGTCAGTGCATAAGGCATAAGGATGCGAGTGGCTGACAGTGCCAGGACATGCTCATTGTTATTGAAGCGCAAACATGAGCGGGCAATGGCAAACAGACTCATTAAAACGCATAAAACGTATGAGCAGAAAATCAACAGTTGAGAGCGCCAACAAAGGGTTAAAGGCTCAGGCAACAAGCAGTTAAAAAATAAATAAATACCAAAAAAAAAAGAAAAATGAAAAAGAGAAGCAAGACAGAGGCCTCGACTCGTCCTTGGCCCGAACAATATTAAATTTGTTATTAAGCCCTGTAATTATTTGTTCAGGCGGAATTGTTGGCATTTTCTTGGCTATTAACTGCCGCTGAAAGACAGACAGCGAGCGAGAGGGGTGGGCGTGGCGTGGCCAAGTGTATCCGAAGATGAAAATATAAATAAATTATGCAAACTGGACAAAGACAATGCGCTCGCTGTTTGCTCAGCTTATTTCACAGTCAAGTTAACTTTAAAGGAGCCTCGCAGCCTGCGAGCACATTTTTCACAATTCTCTTCTCTGTTTTACCTATTTTCTTCAGTCGCCATTTGCCATTTTCCTTTCATCATTTTCATTAATTTCTTATGCCGCGCTCGGCGCGTAAATTAACAACAATTGTTTTCTGTGTCGTCCACTTACATTTAATCTTCATCTTGGCATTCATTCACAATCACATTCGCATTCACAGTCACATTTATGCCAGCTTATTGTTGCCTCCTCCTTATTCTTTTTTTTTTTGCATGCCACGCCCACATGCAGCCCACATTGAGTGCTAAAATAAATCAAAATGCGATGCCAAAGAAGTGCAAAAAAAGCAAAGGAAAAACAAAGCGAACAAAACAAATCTTAAATGAAAATTGTAACCAACAGCCGCATGCAGATCCTGCCAGATTCTGAGGGGTAAGCGGCATAATCTGCTTGCTCACACACACATACAGGCACACACAGACAAATATATAGAGTGTGGGCCTTGTTGTGGGCTGGCCAAGCTTAAGGGTCAGTAATAAATGTCATGATATGAAATTTATTTACGCGCCACGAAAAACCAATGAAAACCAAAGCAAAGCGAAAGGAATGCTACAACAACAACGACAACAACAACAATAAAAATTCCAGAATACAAAGACAATTAAAAGCGAATAGGCAGCCAAAGCAAAGACAATAAAACAGAGCAAAAGCGAAAATTCAACTGCAAATGCCAAAGGGCAAATAAATCTAAGCGCCAAATTGATGATACGCAAGAAAGCTTAAGAAAGGAAGAGCGAGACAGAGAGAGAATGAGAGAAAGAGACAGTTTAATAATCAATAAATAATATTGCATAAATATGAAAACTTGTTAGTTAATCTACCCATTTCTATGTAATATTTTTATAGAAAAATTATAATTAATTTGATAAAAATAATTTGATAAACATAATTTGATAAAAATATCAGTGAGAAATGCCAATAAATTTGAATTATTTTAATGAAATTATTATTATTTTTTAGACTATTATAATTTGATAAAAAATGACAGTGATATATGCAAAAAAATTTATTGTTATTAATATTAAATTAATAAAAAAGTTTCCCTAAAAATATCAGTGATATATGAATAAAAATTAATTATATTAATTCATTTACAAATTGATAAAAATATTGGGGATAAATTAAAAAAATAAGTTAAATATTTAATATTTATAATAATAATAATACTAATAATAAAAATAATAATAATTATAAAAATAATTGCCATACTAATAATATTAATAAAAATAATAATAATAATAATAATAATAATAATATAATAATAATATTTCATGCAAACCTAATATATAATCAGGTTTTTAAAGCAAATGAAGCTCATGAAATATTTTAAAAAATTCTTTAACTGGAAAAGAATTAATTTTTAATTTATTTTCATCGAATTTATTGATGAGCCTTACAAGTTACATGCAAATATCTGCATTTGGTAATATTTTTTAAAATCACAAGTGGAAAACCCAAATGCAAAGCAGGAAATTTGAGAGGAAACTCCAAGAAATACACTCGAAGAAATGCTTAAAAAAGTTATGTAATGTTCGTATATGCAGAGTAAACGCAGCAATATTTGCTTTAAATTATAGCATTCTGAACTTCAATAGTTTCTGATATTCAATTCTTATTTAATTATTACAAAATTAAGCCATATTCCTTTGTGTCAACATAGAAAAATAAATTCTATCTATTTGAGTAACTTTCTTAAAACACTCTTAAAACATATCAAAATCCAACTGTCAAAGTTATGTCAGCTGCGCATCAACAAAAATATTCCAATTAATTTCTCTCAGTGCACATAAACTTTCACTTGACACACATACATGTCTGATCTGTATACATTCTGTTAGTTGTGTTGCTGGGTCTGTTTTTGTGGGCGTGGCATTTTTCTTTCCTGTCACATTTATTACGATAGACAAGACTCTGTCGTTGTCATATTTTTATGGCAATTAATTTATGGAACTTAACGCATGAATGCAGACATGAATAACATGAATAAATGTCACAAATGTTGAGCGCATTCATCAATCAATATTCAATTTATATAATGAAATTATTATTATCATATTTGTTGCTGTAGCTGCTGTTGTTGTTGTAGTAGTTATTGTTATTGTTGGACACAATGGAGCGAGCGAGAGCACGTGCTGTGCTTGGATTTAATTGCTTTTTACATGATTAACACGCTGCCTTACGCTGTTCCTTTTTCACGCCTTTTGTATGGCTGACAAATTGTAAACACTAAACGCACACCTGCACACACCGACACTCACCTGCACACGCACGCACAACAAAAGACAATGCAAGTGACGTGCCAATTTGGCATTTGAGTACGAGGGGAGCCGGAGGTGGGAAGCCTGCACTTAAACTTGACATGAGCTCATAAACAAACACAGGTTGCATGTCCTTTCACACACACACACATGTATATATATATATATGGCTCATAAAAATGCGAGCTGACAACACTTTTGTCTGAGTTGTAAATTGTGAGCGCTGCTGGCAACCCTCAACACGAGCACCTGTGAAACAGGCTTCTCGTTTCATGCCTGCAGCACGCAATGCTGTCAGCCATTCACTCAGCACTAATACACCCACACCACAGCACACGTCGCTGTGTGTGCGCTCCTTTTGCCATCTGTTTTGTTAGGGGATGTGTTAATTACAGAAAAATTGCGAGAATTTGTATTATTTACTTTGTTATCAAGATTTCAGCTTAGAGCTTAACTTCAATCTGTTGTGCATTGTGTTTGCGTGCGTATAATTGCAAGTGTATATGTGTGTGTATATGTGTCTGTGTATATATGTGTCTGTGTGTATATGTGTCTGTTTGTGTGTGTAGTAGGCATCCTATTGCTAAGTGCTGCCTTTGTGCTGTTATCCACAAGGTTAACTTTTAGTTGCTTTTTCACGCATCTCAAGAATTTGCTGGGCCTTTTGTTGCAGAGATTTTCAGAGCATTTGATTTTGGCAAAAACTGTTTGTTTTCTTTATTTTTTGTTTAATTACAAATATTTGAATAGCCAAATAAACATCAATTTCAATTGTTGCCGACTTTAATAGTTTCAAATTCCAGCACGAAAATCTCTTCTAAATAAATTTATTTCATTTAAATGATACGAAAACTATTCAATTTATATTTGTTTTATTTTAAATCGAAATTTTCTCAGATTCTCTGATAAACTTTTGCTAAATTGACTTTGAAATGTAATCTAGAGTATTCTACTTAATTGTAAGACTGCGTCCTGTGGTAATTTTTGGAAAATTAGTCGATAGGAGGTTAAAATTAAATTAAATTAAATTAAAATTTTTGGAAAAATACTATTATTTAGTTATATAAAATATAATATGGAACAAAAGTTTGTAGGTTGCATTATTTAGTATACATTTATAGAAAATAATGGCCAAGTACATCATTTACTATAAATATGAATAATATCTAATAATACTAGCTAATCTCTAATTTCTTTTCCTTTATTCCGTATAATATTTTATATAACTATATTTCAGCAGCTCTTTAAGTTTAACTTTGAGTTGTTTAACTGTTGAAATAGTCAATAAGATTTGTCATTTGTTCAGCCATTGTAGAAAGAATCTTCAACTTGTTTGTCAATAAGCCGATAATCTGATGGAGAATTTATTTGACCATATATACTTTTTACCTTTCAAGATTTTTCATATAGCTTCGTCCATGCAAATGCAATATAAAAAAATTATATTAAATAGTATATATATAAATATATTATTAGTTAATTTAGACACTTTCTGAGTAGCATTCAAAAACGATTTCCAAATTGTGTTCGAACTACGAGCGCCGTCGGCCTGGCATGATCGACCCGATGCGTTGTAAGAACAAATGGAGAAAGTAGTTAGAGA